CCCAGAAAAGAGCTAAGGACATTGGTCATTTATGGCTAATGTGATTGGCTTGTCCCCCATCATGGGTGGGGCGATCAGAATGGCTTTGCTGGCATAAAAGCCTCAACCTCACACGGTTCCTGGGAGAGACAGAGGGTCTTAGCTAATGGGACCGGGCACATGCTATCATGGGGGCATTGGGGCTCAGAACAAAGGAAATCCCTTGGCTCTAAAAGCTGGAGGAAAGGCTGGCCTTCTCTTCCAGCTGGACTCCCCTGGCTCAGGGAATGCAATCCAGTTTCCAGATGTCGGCTCCCACATTCCTGCCCCTAGCAAGTCTCAGACCCTTGGCTTTGCCCATTGGAAAACCACTCTGTGGTCTTCCTATGGGCTATGTGTGAGCTAAACTAGAGCATGAGGTTGAAAATACAGAGTAGGAGAGTAGGAAAGGAGGCTGGGGCTGCCCCAAATGATCCCCTGGAAGTGTAGCTCTGAAAAGGCCAAGGTCCTTAGGGCAGACAAGTGTCAAATTTGGACATCATCTTGGTCCCCAATTGAGTCAAAGAACAGATGCTGTTGGTGGGGCTGCTACAGGTTTTAATGGGAGAGGCCTCTCATTTCTCCTTCCTTCCCAGTTAGTACTACGTCAAGCCAGGTAAGAACTAATAAACTCCTCTATTCACTCACACATTCACTCATCATTCATTCACTCAGAAGTTAATCATTTACACATTCACTCACTCAAACACACAGGTTGAGTGACCACTGTGTGCCAAGGGCATACATCGGGGGATAACCCTGAGTTCCTGGTGCAGAAAATGGTGTCCCCAGCTCTTAACCTTGGGTTAAAGCTAGGATAGGTCTGGGGAGCAAAAGGCCAGCTGCCAGCTCAGCAGCTGCTGATGTTCCTCTTCCCCACCTAGCAGGCACACCAAGGTCAGAGGTCAAGGTCATTTAAGAGAGAGAGCCCAAAGCCCTAGTAAAGACCAGGGGCCATGAGCCAAGCCATGGAAAAGTCCAAGTCTCTTGAGCATCTTCTCCTGTGCTTCCTGCCTGGTTTTCCAAACCTGGATTAGCTCAGGGAGGCAAGAAGGGTGGGGAGATGCATGCATAACTCTTGAGAGCATCCTAATGGGACAGAATTGGGAGTTTCCTTCCTTTTTCAAGACTATAATGTCATGGCAGACACTAACTTGAGTTATTCCTCAGGACAGAGCCTCAGAGGGGGATCTTAGAAATTGGCAGCTGCTCGGTCTATCCGGTCTATCCGTTCAAACATATCCTGCCTAATCTCATGATAAAACCACCTGAGACTGCCTGCCCTGGGGGTCACCCTGAGGATGAAGCTCCACCTCCTCCAAACTCACCAAATAGAAATGAAGGGGGACTTTCACACCTCTTTGTCAAATGCTCTCCTTGAGGAATGCAGCATCCAGACCTTGGGAAGGGGCTACAGATGTGGGAGATGGCATTCTGCCTGGAGGCAGCAGCAGCCTTGTCTTGCTGTAAAACTGGGTACAGGCGCCTCTCTGTTTTGGCTCTTCTGGATTTAACTTCATTGGGTGGGGACTTTCAAAAGATTTGAATAGACTTGACTGGGGCTGGTGAACACACAATAAAATATGCAGATGACGTATTATAGAATTATACACCTGAAAACTATATAATTTTATTAAGTGTGTCACCCCAATAAATTCAATGGAAAAAAACCCCAAAGGATTTGAATGGGATTTCCTGTTTTATTTTCCAGGGGAATAAAGCCCTTTTGGAATAATGCCATTTGCTATTGCCTGGGCTGTTTGTTCATTAGGCAGGTGGCTAGTGGGTAAAAGATAATTGTGTCTCTTGTACCGAAATCCTCAGGTCTCTGAGGGCATAGCAGCCGTGGGCAAACTACGGCCCGTGGGCCAGATACGGCCCGTTTGAAATGAATAAAACTAAAAAAAAAAAGACCGTACCCTTTTATGTAATGAGGTTTACTTTGAATTTATATTAGTTCACACAAACACTCCATCCATGCTTTTGTTCCGGCCCTCCGGTCCAGTTTAAGAACCCATTGTGGCCCTCGAGTCAAAAAGTTTGCCCACCCCTGGCATAGAGTCTGGGCAGAAGGACTGAAGCACCGCGAGACAGCCAGCCAGAGATGGGGTTGATTTTTGGTTGGCCTGGGGGATGATACCATGAGTATTATCCCACCCTGTGTGGTTCCTACTAGGGCATTGGGGATGGGTTGGATGGGTGGTCAACAGAGTCATTGAAATTGTCCAAGATACGGAGCATGGGAAACAGGGTATCCTGTGCTACCTAGAACTCCCTCTGAGAGCTCCAAATTCTAACCTTTGAATTCCTGCTAACAGTGCTCCTTGCCTTTGCCTTGGTGGCTTGAGTCTGTGCCCGGATGTTCAAACCACCAACCACACACACACACACACACACACACACACACACACACACACACACACACACACACACACACACCCAGAACGAGAGAGAGAGAGAGGGAATTTCCCTGGTTGTTTAGTCCAGTTGCTATGCAATGCTAGGGTCCCCCTGCAATATCCATTTTGTACATCATCTAGCCTCTCTTTAAACACTGTGGTGTCACGAAGGTCATTACCCAACATGGCATTCGAGTTCCATGGTTAGCAGCCCCACCCATTACAAGTGCTTTCTTACTTTGAGCTGAAATCGACCACCCTGTCCTTCTCATGCAAGAGAACATTTCAGAGATCCGCATGCAGCCATCCTACAGGCAGGTAATTTCTTGTCCAGGTGAACTGCCCCACTCCACCCCATCCTGGCCAGCCTTCAGATCTTTTCAGAAGCTTTGCAGGGAGGAATGAAGAGTTAGAGTTAGAGGTGAAGATGAGGGGCTGCTCCATTAACAGAGCCCCTTCCAAATCCATTTCTTCAAGTTGGAATTTTGGGGTATTCCCAAGAAATTCCAGGTTAAGACAAAATCCGGGATAGTGAATGGATACCCAAACTATACAACCTTTTTCTACATGAAAATGGCCACAAGCAAGGGTGTTTGCTTATCTGGGCATCAAGCCTAGCACATTAATGGGAAAAACAACTTTCTTTTTGTTCTTGTGCAGAAGTTTTAACAAATCTCTGTTTTGTTTGGCTTTGGTTCAAACCAGGTTACCAGGAATTTGAGGGTGGGGTGGGGTGGGTGGGAAAACTGTGATTAGGGTCTTGGTCCAAAAGAATATATTCATACTTGGATTAGTTTCCTCTTGGGGTTGTTCCAAAGGGGATCATTCGCTGCCATCTGGGGGTCCTGATTTGGCTCAGATTTCTATTTGGGCAGAGGTGAGAGCCCTGAAGCTGACATGAGGTGGTGGTGGTGGTGGTGGGGGTGGAGTGGGGATATGAAAATCTAAATGATTACAAATTGGAGATTATCTGAGCTTTCTTCATCTTCCTGCATGAGTTGATAGATGGAAAAAAATCACTTTTTGCTGAAGATCCTGCTTCGTGAGCTGTCTTCTGCCAACCCAATGCTGGAAGCCACTTGGTGGAATTAATTATCAGGACAGTCCAGAAACTCCCTGAGGCCTAGTTGAGTGGAAGCTGCCTCTGCCATCAATCTCTGGCTCTATGAAGCCAGCAGCTGGAAAGGGAAGGGGAGATGAGATGGCAGATTCTGGGGACATGTCTTCTCAGGGTTTGGCTGCAAGCCTGTCTGGACACTGTTTTTTTGTTGAGGCTGCTGGCAATGGATTGAGAAGAAGAACTGATAAAAAGTTGATGAGATCTAAAGCCCAGCATGTTCTCCGAGGTTCTCAAGAACCAGAAAATGCTCTGTCCTTCGGATCCAATTGATGTTACAGGGAGCAGGGCACTGGACATGGCAACAGGCCAGCCAGGAGGGGCTTGGGTGTGTTCTGGATCTCAGAAATGCCAGTGGGAAGTTTGCTTACATGAGATTTTTTTGGTTCTGAAATCTTTGCGGATGAGAAAACTCAGTCCCCTCAGGTCCTCAAAGGTGTGTAGGAATCAACTAAACCAGCCCACATCCCATCCTGATTTTGAGGGTCATCTGCTCTCAATCGTGCATCTGTGCCCTGGATTCTTAAGAACAACGAATAGGAGAAACACACAGACAGAATGAAGACAGTAAGTGTCAACAGACTCTAGGCTTAGTGCCAGGAAATGCCTGTATGAGGAAGTCAGACCCTAAAGTCTTTCCCCACCCCCAGAAAATCAGAATTGAAAGAAAAGAAAAAGCAGTCCAAGGGACAATGGGAGTAAATGAAAAAGGCCAGAAAATATCAGCTACGATAATGACCAACCACAAACCTGCTAAAATGTTATTCTATATTACAAATGAAATTAGACTCCATGGCCCTATTATAAATTCGCTAAAAGTACATATATTTATCTGAACAGAAAAATAGACTACTCTGAGATGCGTGGACAACCTGTGATGTAGTCCTACACATCAGATACTTCTAGAGCCAGAAAAATGGCAACAGAAAATGCAGAGGTAACTCTTATTTCTGGGTGTAGCCAGGGCTGCTTTGGGTCACTCTGGCTGAGTGAACGCATTTGGATGCTGTCACGTAGGCCGAGGGAGGCGAGGAACGTTCAGCTCTTCGCTGTCCTGCTGGGGACTCTGGTGAGCCCCTTCTTCCTCCTGCCAGCTTCGCAGCCACAGAACAAGTCCTTTCCCAAACGATCTTGGAGGCGGTTCACCATGTTCTCATTTGATTCAAAGTTCCTTGATTGGAGGCTGAAGCCTGGGACTAGTTGCTAGAGAAATAAGGAAAGGAGAGAACTAGAGACCTGGCTTTCGTGACCCTGGTCCCTGGTGAATTTTGAATTTCCCCTTGCCCATGGATTAGAGTCTAATGGTCGGCAGTGGTCGGCAAACTCATTAGTCAACAGAGCCAATATCAACAGTACAACGATTGAAATTTCTTTTGAGAGCCAAATTTTTTAAACTTAAACTATATAGGTAGGTACATAGTTATTAACTTAATTAGGGTACTCCTAAGGCTTAGGAAGAGCCACACTCAAGGGGCCAAAGAGCTGCATGTGGCTTGCGAGCTGCAGTTTGCCGACCACGGGATTAGACACTCCAGCCGTAACATGGAGCATGACAGAAATATACAATAGTTACAAACATCAACAATACATTACAGCTTTCCTTAAGAGAATACTATCGTGTGTGTTTTTTCTCCTTAGAAAGGTGGATCTTATTAGGAGAATGGGCAGAAATGTGGCTATGGTTACCAAGACACAGTGGAAGAGAGGTTGGGAATCAGTTTGAAGACGTCTATATTGCCAGCAATTCTCAGGGATGAGCCAGGTGGATTGAATGGAAATGGCCTCCTCAGGATATTGCCCGCCCCCTCCCCCGCCCCATCTCTTTCTTCATTCTTGATCCCCAGTGCCTTTAGAGAAAAGGGCTTCCCCGGGAACAAACGTTCTCTCCTCTTTTTTCTTTCCCCATTAAGTGTGCTTAAGATAAAATTCCTAAAGAAGGCACCGAGAAATCTACTGCACCAAAATCCTGTTGTTTTTCTTTACCCTAAGAGAGAAAGAGGTTGCCCACCTCTTTCCCCTGGTCGCAGACTCTCCCCTGTTGATTGGGATGCACAGCTACCTGGTCCCTAGCCCTTTCTGATAAAGGTGGAAGTTGAAAGTCAAGTTCAGCTGGGTTCTGGAGAAGTTTCACCGAGTTCACCAAAAGGACCAGGCTTCCATCCGCCCCCAGTCCCTAGTTTCATTTCTTTGGGTTGATTTGTTTTTTCTCCCCGCTTTCATTGGCTCAGGAATGGGTGGGACTTGGACCACCAAGGTAAAGTGGTACCTGCTTCCAAAACTATTGCTTCCCTGTCCTCCATCAAGACCCGTCGATCAAGGTTAGCTTCTCAGTGGAGATTCTTAGGAAGATTTCCTAGTGCATGTACACAGGTACAGGTAGAATGTACACATATTAAAAATCTCAGTATGTTCCTTTCTGGCAGGTGGGGGCCTGGGTAAACTCACAGCACTTTATTGTGAATGGGACCCAGGGTAAAAGCTATATATATATTCCCATGATACATCCACAAGTTAAAGAAAAAAAAAAACAAAACAGAACACAATACTTTCTAAGCATAGTATATGCTGAGTTTCAATTATTTTGTTTCTATAAGAACTCTATAGGACTCTGGCTGTTCAGCCTGAATAGGTAGGTTCTTCATGATACTTCTGAATTCGTCCTTCAAAAGTGACTCAATAAAATGCTACTTTAAGGTCAGACAAAATACAGGAGGAAGGAAGGGCTAGGTCCTGCGTGACCACACAAGGCAGAAAGGGCCTTTGGTTACAAGGAGAGTTGCACCAATTGGTTATTAGTTTTTTGTTTGTTTTTTTAAAAAAAGGAAGAAAGAATTTCCAATCTGTACACTTCTCGTCTGCTTCAACCAACAAATGAAATGCCTTGGTTTGAAGAAGGGGTGGTAAGTTCCTTCCCACTATATATGGCTATATTTAAACATGTTCACTTTCCTGATATGTAAAATAGACTATATTATTATTAATTTTTACAGATAGCATCAGCTCTAAAAATATCTGAATCAGAAATCACAACTATTTACTTTTATCAAAAAGCATTTGTTTGTTTTCCCTGAATTTTCACATTTGTGCTGATGGCGGACATAGATGGTGATGAAAACAAAGAAGAGACACGTGAGATGGTCCAGGGAGGACTGTTCCACGGCCATTCCTCAACAGGCCTCCAGCCCACACTGAGATCTCGGCAAAGCCCCCCGGGAGCGCTGCTGCTTCCTCTCTCTGGTATATCATCCGGAACGGGATGACCTCATTCTCTCTTTGTCCCTTAAGTCCCTTTGCATTTGCTGCCAGAGTACTCTGAAGATACTTTGGAAGAGTCAAGATACTCCGGCATGCATTTTCTTTGTTAACGCAGCAAAGAACAGGACTGTCCCCTCTTGGAGAGATCCACAGTCCTTGGAGATGCTGAGAAGCAGTGTGAACCAGGAGCGTATTCAGCAAAGAATACACATTTTTAAGGGCAGGAGGATGACCCCCTGTCATCATATCTGTGACAGGTGGCCCAACCTCATGCCACTGTGAGGAGAGCAGGCAGAACGACTTTGTGATATCTGTGTACTGACAGGTGGATCGTGCCGTTGTAATAACAGGCAGATCAATAACATCGTATGAAGGACAGCTAAACAACACCATGTTTCATTCCATCAGGAAGACGTATGCCTGTCACAATTGATGACTGACAGATATACACGACTGTATTTGGGACATCATCCAGCAGAACCGTATTAAGAGAACAACATCAGTCCATTGCATTAAAAACAGGCAGGTCCATAACATGTTATCTTTACTGACGGATGGGCCCACAGCATGGCATCACGCTAACCAGTGGCTCAACCCAGTGTTACTGAACCAAGGAACAGCCAGCAACACCATGCTGTCAGACTGAAATCAAGTAGACCAATGTCAGAGCATCAAACGAGGACAGGAACACCAACACCAAGAAACACACTAGAACTTATTGCTTTTGTCTGTACTGGCTGCATTGATGGCTGCGGAAAGGAGCTGAGCTTTTAATACAGACAGTGACACTGAAAACACACCGACAGCTGGTTGACAAGAAAACACCCAATGCCCAACCATCTACCGTCTTCTTCTGAGATGCGCCTGTTTTCTATACACGTGACTTTATGAGGAGCCCCACTCAAGGGCCAGGTACCCTTCTTTGCAATAGGGCTAAGGGGAAGCTTCAGAGGGGCAGGAAGGTGCCTGCAGACTTTGACATGGCAGACAGCAATACCAGCACAATATCACCCACTGTGGTGGGACACAGGCATATAGCAACAACCCAACTAGAGTCCCAAAAAGTGGCCCACGGGAAATAGTGCTTCTTTTAAAGTGCAAGATGGTGATGCTGTCCCTGGTAGAATCTATTTTTGAAAAACATAAAGTGCTTTTTATTTAAACTTTTTAAAAAACTTGAATACCACAGGAAACAAAAAAAGAATTTCTATTATACTTGATGCTTTCCCTGCCGCAGCAGGAAGTATTCAAAAGTCTGAACAGGGCATTTCAATTGGGGACTTTTTTTCCCCCCTTTCATTGTTGCAGGTTAAAAAAAAATCAGATTTTATTCTGTTCTCCAGTAACATACAGTCTCTTGGAATAAGCTATTTCTTTTGCATATTTGACACTTGCATATCTTTTGAGCCTACACTAGTGATGTACAGAAAATGCTTTCCCTCTACAACCCTAAAGCAATGCTCAGAGTTCATACTGTTGGCTGAGTGCCTGCCTTCTGAGCCCTTCCCAGATTGCCAGGGGGCAATTAGAATGGAGTATAAGTAGTACAACTCACCCTGATGATAGCTCAAAATAAAATCTCAAGTACTACGAAATACTGAAGTCAATGAAGACATTTGAGTATGGGTTTTGCGCTGGGATTGTGGCTTATGGTGCAGAGATTTCTCCATGACTCGAGCATTCTCTGTAGCCTCTAACAGTGGGATCCATCCAGGAGGTGATGGACAGGGGTTCCTAGAGGTGGCCAGGCAACACCCAATACCAAATTAGTCAACTCACTTTTTCAATATCAGCCACGTGTTCCAGCATCCTTCTCCAGCCAAGGCCAGGAGGGATCAGAGATGTTGCTTTCAGAGGCTGATGGATAGCCATGAGAGAAGAATGGGGAGTAGGTGGCCTTGGTTATGTCTAGAATGTGGTAGTGGTGGCTGTGAGTTCTGCTCATGTCATCTCCCAAAGAGGGCAGTGGAGTTGTTACAAGGAGGTGCCATATTCTATGGCTTGGCCAACTTCATTCCAATAGACCTGCTGTGACTCTCAAGGTGTTAGGGAGCTTTCTCTGGAGTCTCTCGTCTTTCTGGGGACTTTGCAGAGCCTTTCTGCTTCAGAGTTCATGCAGAAAAGCTATGTGGCAGGTAAGCTGAGCAGCACTCCTCCTTGGACCTCACCCCAAGTCTCTCCCTCATGTGGGGTAGTTCAGATGCTCTGATCCCGTGTGCTTCCGTGGGCTCCTCCCCCAGGCAACACCCGAACGTCGGGGGAGATATGGTTCTCAAGTTTGTACTTTTCCTGACCACTGGGGGCTTTTCCAGTCAATGCTTCTGTAGAGTAAATACAGTTCTGCCTTAAGAACTTAGGAGAGGTGGGTAAGGGGGAACTTTCAAAGTGGTTCTTCTCTGATCTTGTCCCAACACTGAACTTGGGACTGGTACTCCCATGAAGGCTCTTGGGAGGGCTAGAGTCCACACTGTACAGCACCTGTCCCTCATCATCTGTGTCTGCATCAATGTACTGGTGGATACCTGCTTCGAAGTTGAATGCTATTGCTGTGTGTTTCTCGGGCGACCGGGAGGGTGTCCTAGCACTTGCTGTGGTGTAGATGGAGGACTCTGGACTCAGCACAGGCCTGTCCAAGAGTGTGGCACACTCCAGTCCAGCGACAGCAGCTGCAGCAGCCCCCCGGTTCCTGAGAGGGTCATGGTACATCCCCAGAACAGGGACTAATGGACTGGGTTCGCCCTCCACAAAGTTAACTTTAAGTGCTCGGAGCTTCAAGGGGTTGTTGGTCTTCATGGTAGCCTTGGGGCTCTCAATGAGGAAAGTAGAGTGATGACTGGCAGCAGGGGTGGGGTTGGCCTCCACAAACCTACCACCACTGGCACCCAGAGCTCCCTGCCAGCCCATCTCTGGGGCCAAGCTGCCCCCAGTCTTGCTGGGGAGCGACATCAAAGGGCTGTGGGAGAATCTGGTGGCTTCAGGGAAGTCTGTGGCACAGCTAATGAAGCTATCAATGCTTGACATGCTTCTCATGTCTATCACCCCTTCTGTACGAGTGGGCAGAGGAGCTATGGGGCTGGGGATACTCTCCATTTCAAGTTCTTCCTTTGGTTTGCTGTGTGTTGCTGACTGCTTGGTATTGAGGATGGGCTGGGATTGGGTCTTGGCCATCTTATTATACATGTCTTCCAACTGCTGGACATTCAGGTGTTGAGGACTAGAAGATGATCTGGCCTTCTCAGGGGATCCTTGCTCCTTGGTTTCAAAGGACTTACTTGAACTAGTTTCAGATAATGTCCTCTTTGGCCATTTCCATTTGTTGGGTGACAAGTGGTTATCTTGTACTTTGTCCTTATTCTCTCCATTTTTCTCAACCACGATGTCCATTATCTCGATGCTCCGGGCAAAAGCATCTTTCATGTTCATGGACACAATGCTGCCATTCCTCTTGGCTCTCTCCAGAGCCTCTCTACGCTTGATTGCTTTCTCCTGCCTCTTCTGCTCCTTGTAGAACTCAGAGAAGTTGTTGACAATGATGGGGATGGGAAGAGCAATCACCAGGACCCCTGCGATGCAGCAGAGCCCCCCCACAATTTTCCCCAGGAGAGTCTTGGGGTAGATGTCTCCATATCCAACAGTAGTCATGGTAATAGTAGCCCACCAGAAAGAGGCTGGGATGCTTTTGAACTTGGTGTCCTCCTCATCTTTCTCTGCAAAGAAGACAAGGCTGGAGAAGATCATGATGCCCATGGCGAGGAAGAGAATGAGCAAGCCCAGCTCATTGTAGCTCCGCCGCAGGGTGAAGCCCAAGGACTGGAGGCCAGTGGAGTGGCGTGCGAGCTTAAGGATGCGGAGAATACGCATGATGCGGAAGATCTGGACCACGCGGCGAACATTCTGGAACTGAAGCACACTCTTGTTGGATTCAGTGAGGAAGATGGTAACATAATACGGTAGGATGGCCAACAAGTCAATGGCGTTGAGTGGACCCTTGAAGAATTTCCACTTCTTGGGCGAGGAGAGGAACCGCAGCAGGTACTCCATGGTGAACCACGCAATGCACACAGCCTCCACGTGGGCCAGCTGGGGGTTGTCTGTGGACTGGCCAAACTCATCAACGCCCTGCAGCTCTGGCAGCGTGTTGAGTGACAGGGCAATGGTGGAGAGGACGATGAACATTATGGAGATTATGGCAAGGATCTGTGAGGAGAAGAGAGTGGGATTTAGTTATCAACCACCAATGGGATGACCACTCTAATACCCTGAGTCTGCAGAGTGCTCCTCAACATTCAGGAGCATTTCACATTTCACTAGTCACTTAATAACTGGAGGGTTGAGCTAAAAAGATGATTTATTCAAATCCATTTATTGTACAGATGTAGAAACTGGCTTGGAGAATTGAAATGATTTAAAGCTAATTATCTAGCCCAGGGGTTGGCAATTTTTTTCTATGAAGGGCCAGATAATAAATATTTTAGGCTTTGAAGTCCATGAATTCTTTGTTGCAGCTACTCAACTCTGCAGTTGAAGCACGGAGGCAGCCTTAGATAATACATAAGTGAACATGTGTAGATGTGTTTCAATAAAACTATTGACAAAAAGAGGCAGTGGGCCATAGTTTGCTGACTGGTGAGCTAGAACAGTGGTTCACCACTACTATGGGGTGGGGGCTGCGATTCTCAACCTGTGGGTCATGACCCCTTTGGGGGTCAAACGACCCTTTCACAGGGGTCGCCTAAGACTATTAGAAAACACATATATAATTACATATTGTTTTTGTGAGTAATCACTATGCTTTAATTATGTTCAATTTGTAACAATGAAATTGGGGGTCACCACAACATGAGGAACTGTATTTAAAGGGCTAGAAGGTTGAGAACCACTGCTATAGACCCTTTTGCTATACACAATCGCCTGATTTTGCAGGCAATTTCCAGGCAGGAAGGGACATCTTGGCTCCACATTATTAACTCCCAATTGGGACTATGAACTTTTTGAGGCTAAGGGTCATGGCTTAATTACCTTTGAGTCCCTGGATCAAGAAGAGGTTTTGGCCCAGAGAAAGGGCTTACTGGACATTTGTTGAAACGAATGGAACCTAGGCCAGTGTGTACTTTATGCAGAAATGCAAGCAGATGTAATACATTGCTCTCAGGGTCTTCTTCAAAACTATAAATCCAATCCCATCATCTCATTACTTCTCTGCTTACTAAGTTTCCAGGACATTTCAGGAGAAAATCCAAAGCCCCTAAACTTGTCTATGAGCCCCTCCCTCCCCTCTGTCCTGTTCTCAGAGACTGCCCCTCTCCTTCAGCTGCCCCTGCTGAAGGGCTGGTCTGGTCACCATGCTTGTACAATTTGATCCTGCCGCCCTAGCTGGTTTGGCTCAGTGGATAGAGCATTGGCCTGTGGACTAAAGGGTCCTGGGTTCGATTCCAGTCAAGGGCACAGGTTGTGGGCTTGATCCCCAGTGGGGGGCGTTCAGGAGGCAGCGGATCAATGATTCTCATCATTTATGTTTCTATCTCTCCCTTCCTCTCTGAAATAAAAATATTAAAAACAAAAAACAAAGGAAACAATTTGATCCTGCCTGTTGCTGACTGGCCCAGACATAGATAGGAAGTCCAGGCTGGGATCAGCCAGCCCACCATCAAAAATCTGAGCTCGGGGACCCAGGGGATGAATGGTGAGTCTCTGAGTTAAATGGCCAAGTACTATCTAGGCTTCAACCAGCTTCTTTTTTTTTTTTTGTATTTTTATTTTATTTTATTTTATTTTATTATTTTTTTAAAATATATTTTATTGATTTTTTACAGAGAGGAAAGGAAAGGGATAAAGAGCCAGAAACATCAATGAGAGAGAAACACCGATTAGCTGCCTCCTGCACACCCCCTACTGGGGATGTGCCCGCAACCAAGGTACATGCCCTTGACCGGAATCGAACCTGGGACCTTTCAGTCCGCAGGCCGACGCTCTATCCACTGAGCCAAACCGATCAGGGCTCAACCAGCTTCTTGATAAGCCCAGGCTCCAAGCAAGCGTGTCCCAAGTTTCAGGGGACAGAGAAGATATAAAAAAAATCAGAGAAAGCTGACCCTTTGCGGGAAGCCTGAGAATAAAGGGAAGGGGCAGAGAGAAGGAGCAGTGAGGACACAGGAGGTTGGAGAGAGGATGTAGAGGGCGGCAGTTAAGAGCTTGGGCTCTGGTGTCAGAATACTTTGGATTCAAGTCCCAGCTCTGCTACTTTCTTACCTTGAGCCAGTTATTTAACCTCTTGAAGCCTCAGTTTCCTCATCTGCAAAATGGGATGATAATAACAATATCTACCTCAGAGAGCTGCTGTGAAGATTAAATGTGTCAACACACCTAGAACAGTAAGGACAGCTTCCAGCAGAACACAGTGAGTGTCTGATAAATGCCAGTTATCATCCTGGGGGGAATATCGCAGCCCACCCTCCCCATCAGCCCTCCAGGTGGCCCAGCTAGTCTTTGCTTCCTGCTCTTCGGAACCGCCTGCTGTATCCTGTAGGGAAACACCGTTGCTGTTTGGATGAGTGTGAGAGGCTTCTCTCCCCTGTAATGAATCCCCAATCAGGACATGGCTGTCAGGTCCCTCAGCATTTGACTCCACCCCCTCTCTTTGGCCTCGCCTCCCACAGGTACTCAATCTTCACGCTTCCCTAGCCACATGCGCCTGTTGGTCTATTCTGCACGTCTGTGCTTCTTCCTCTCTGTCCAGTGGACTGTAATCCATCTTTTAAAACCCAGCCCATGTGTCCTGTACCCGCCCCTCAGAAGTCATGCCTACATTCCCCAGGCAGGCTGGCCACGCCATCCTCTGGACTCTCCTATTATTTTGTCGTACCGTGGGGTGCATATCACACATATCCCATTACCGGGGATGTGTGCATCCATCACTGCCCAGTATCTGTGAGCTCTGGGGGGACAGGGATTGGTTCTGAGGCTTAACTCTGCACACCCAGCGCCTAGCCCAGGGCATGACACCCGCAGGCACTCCCAAGCGTTTGTCATCTGCTGCTCAAGGTCACAGAGCTACAAGTAGAAGGGCCAGGACCAGCATTCAATTTTCAACGCGGCCACTATTTATTGATCATGGGCTACGTGTGAGGCACTGGGATACCACAGGCAGCAAGAGAGCTCTGGTGCCAGCTCAGAATAGGAACGGGAGCGTCTCGTGATGCAGTGTTTCCTCAATCTCAGTTGCTCTACCAACATCTTGATTTTCTTTTCTTTTCTTTTTTTCCACCTAGTGGTGTTTTCAAAGAAAGCTCGAGTTTTATTTTCTTGATTTATAGTCATTGAACAAGAAAAATTCTGTAATCATTTTATAAAATAAAATACCCGACATGCACAAAAGTAGATCTAATTTGTACATATTTACGAACCATAATCAAATGAGCACCTATGAAGCCACCACCCAAGTTAAGAAACAGACCACGTGACAATAACATGGACCCTTCCTGTGTCCGTCTCCACCCCAGAGACGACCAGAACTTTTTCTCACCCCTTGCTTTTCTGGATAGAGTTTAATACACATGTATACATGCCCAGACAAATGATGGTTTCATTTTGCTTAGTTTTTTTAAAAATATATTTTTATTGATTTCAGAGAGGAAGGGAGAGGGAGAGAGAAATAGAAACATCAATGATAGGAGGGAATCATCGATCGGCTGCCTCCCACACGCCTCCTACTGGGGATCGAGCCCATAACCTGGGCATGTGCCCCTGACCGGAATCGAACCCGGGACCCTTCAGTCCGCAGGCCGACGCTCTACCCACTGAGCCAAACCGGCTAGGGCTCATTTTGCTTAGTTTTGACATCATATTGTATGTGCTCTTTTGCTACCTGTACTACTTTTTCCTGAATAGTAATAAAAAAATAAAATAAACAAACCCACTCACCTTCTTTGTTTTATTTTACCCTCATCCTAAGAAATAAACTTCTGCTTTTGCCTGTTAGAAATATATGTATTAAATATTCATTAAAATAAATATGTGATCATTGGAAAAAACCATTTTGGCAGCACACTTTGGAAACTACGGCGTTGGGGTTAGGAGCGCCACCCTGGACCTGGAATCCAGCTTTGCCATTTGTTGGCTAGGTGGCCTCGGGCACCGAGACTTCCCTCGCCTCAGTTTCCTTATTGGTAAAATGGGGGACATACCAGTGGATGATCCTGACCTTCAGGGGACATTTGGCAAATTCTGCAGACATTTTTGATTGTCACAACTTGGAGGAGGGACAGCTAGAAGGCGGAGGCCAGGGATGCTGTTAAATGTCCTCTAATGCATGGGACAGCCCCACAATGAAGAATGAGCCAGTCCCAAATGTCAATAGTACCGAGGTTGAGAAACCCTGAGATATAACGATAGTCAGGCCCGCATGAGTTGTAGAGTGGGGGAAAGGAGACTGTGCATGGAAAGCTACTAACTAGCTCAGGTCTAGCCAGGCACAGAGCGGGTCTGACCTTATGAGGCAGCCAGCCAGAGCCTTGGGCTGAGCCCCAAGGTTGCTGCTGCAGCCTCTGACTCCAGCCAGGAGGGAGCCAGCAGGAGAAGGAGTAGATCCCTGGGGAGTCTGTTCCTTTAAGAGCTGGGAGGTCCCATTCTAACCCAGTTTCTAAGCACAGACAACTCTAGGAAAGGCTCACATAATTGAAGTCTGCCAACAGACCCATAAATTATGCACCCAGCTATTATGTAGTCCTTAGGCCTGCTATTCTAAGGCAGGTACCCCCTTTGTACCTGAGAATGTGCCCTCCCTCCCCTCCCCTCCTTTCAGCCTAGGAAAGAAGAAAAGGCGGGCAGAGGCCCTGCTGGCTCCTGGAAGTGGATGCCTGCTGCTCAGGGTTGGGTTGGGAGGGTCTGAGCGCACCAGGCCCCCTTTCCTGTGTGTGTGAAAGTATCAGATAAAATGTGCAACAATGCAGCCTGAAGGGCTCCCCTCACCCACCCCTCCCAACCCTGCCCTTAAGGTCGTTCTCTCTTCCGGACCCACCAGAGCCAGGGTCACACTTCCTGACTGGGGAACTTCCTGATGCCAGTTAAACCCTCTGTGCCACAGTTTCCTCATCTGTAAGGTGCGGGCGTATGTCATTGCAGGGCTGAGATAAGAATTCAATGAGCTCATCAGGCTCTTAGATCAGCTTTCATTAGTCCACAGGCTTACACTTATGTAT